ACTAACACGCAAACGCTGGATCCCAGTATTGTTAGTAAAGACCGAATGTTTACAGATAGCACTTTCATCCTTTAAGCCTCCGGAACCATTTCGTGCACATTAAATAAATAAATAGGTGGCATATTCCTCGACAGTGAGATACACAGTCCAACTAAGTGATCTGATAAATAGTGACGACACCATAAAGAGCGACACGTGGAACATTACCAGTCTCAGCATGTCCAACCGTGTCAACACTTGACAGCGAACTGACTCTAGCAACAGGTCGATATTGATACTTAAGGTTCGTCACAGCCAGCTTCCAAATCAGATAGCCATCCAAATTCCCGGAATAGCAGTAGACTGCAGTTTCAGCCAGCTGGGCGTCATCATAAGTGCGAGTCCATCGGATCCATCAGGATTCGAATCCATGACCAGCAGCGGCTTGCACCGATAGTCACCAGCTTGTGCCACTGGGCGACTGGAGGACTGTCTGAATTGAAAGCTGCCTGTGACGATCCCCAATTATCTATATCAAAAATCCCCTACTTATGAGTTTTAATATTGTCTACTTACCCCACCCTGCAAACACATGAACGGATCCGTCGCGTCCGCGTACCAGTGGGGCAACTGCGCCCAGTCTCATGATCCACAATTAATTTGCCTCGGGTTTGCAGCTGCCGTGGCCAGTAACAAAGGGCTAACATCACGCTGCAGCTGCTGATAACCGGGAAATAGTTTTAACGTATCCGACAAGCGATGTACGTGTGGACTAACGACTCTACACACGACACAAATAGACTGAGCCAGCTAAAGGGGATAGACACCCCATCGGCTTACGTACGAGTTTGTAGGTGGACCGTCGAATTTAGTTGTTTAATTTCGGCTTAATGTTACAACTGAGAATATAACCAACGCTGAAGTGCAGTTGGCGGTACATATTGCCTCGCTCTAGTGAATAAATAGATGTAAGTTTATGTCAGTTGTTTGCAAATAATGACCCACCGACATCCCGGCGAGTGTATTTATCCCGGCTGGTTTTTCATTGCTATGGCCATAGTTTATGACTCATCTAACCCAAGACTCATCACTTTCTGTTTTAGTAGCGTTGCTACCACGCACCCATGGATAGTTTAATCAAACACAGTTAAACGGCCTACATTGACCAAACATTGTAAGCAAACAACAAGGTCAATTATAGAGAAAATATTTCATGACCTATTGTGTGCGTGAAGCAATCGCGAAATATTGAATCCACGTCACCAATCCAGTGTTCTAGCTTGGAACACAGCACAGTTAGACTTAGATGGCTTCATGATTGCCACTACCCGTTTCGGATAACGATGATTTAACATTTTTGCATGTAGACTTTTGCATAAACAGCTGTTGGTACTCCTCAGACACTGACCCACCGAAACAAGAGCGATCGAATCAGATATCTCATGCGATCTGGCTGTTGGACAAATCTGAATAAAGGCGAGCGAGTGGTTTGGGCCCAGTTGACACACAAGCCTGCTCGAACAAGAATTAATTGAATGAGTATGTGTGCTTAAGACGCTCGTTAGAGAAGTTGGAGCAATGGCGTATTCATCGGTGCTCACCTGCTGCTCCGTATTATTCAGCTCCAAATGACAATACTGAGAAACTTGACATGTTGCGTGTGATTTCTAGCATGGGTAAATCTTGTGAGACTGAACAACGAGCTCATAAATCACGTTTCAGAACTTGCTCTTCCTTACTGAAACTACGGATTCTGTGTATGTGGTTTGCATTGCGCTGCACGGCTCCCATGCTGGGGTTGTTAAGGGGACATCGTGGTGTATGTAAGCACCAAACTCACAACGTCAGAATATTGCTTTGAAAACACAGGAATGCCAGTTCATTTATACGGCCTCTTGTGTGAACGGACAATGTGTGCACCTAAACCACTGCGTGAGAATGTCGCCGCCACCAGTGCACTCCTTCATTCGGCATCTCAACACCGCGAAAGGTTCATTCATCCAGCATAGTAGATGGATTACTGTAAAGATATCATGATATATTGACATGTTCCCTTAGTTGACTCTGTCCCAGCAACGACCACTGTTGCACTGGAACCACTGAAGAGATGATATCAACGACCGGCGTGAAGCCTGGACGCTTGATGGTTGTTGCAGTCTCAAGATATTACAATTACAGGCCGCCACCGTAGTCAGACACTTTGGCAGTGGCGCGGATTTTCAAAGCCTGTACGCTTTTGAATCACCCAAGGACGAAGATAACAGTGGCACAACGGTAGAAAATATACAGTTGACCGTTGATGCACCAAAAATAGGCCAATTACAATGTAAATCCCTTGACAGTAGACTGTCAACTATCAATTTATTTCGGTTTAGTCTACTGTAATTCTCCTTCACCGCCATAACTAAATTTGTAATTCCGTGTGACTGCATGCCCATTTTCAGCCTGTTTTGGTGAGCTTCGGTGTAACGCGAGGCAAACATGCTCACTAGTTCCACCAGGACTAGCGTTTCAAACTACGTTAAACACATAAAACCTTAAAAAACATCTTCAGTGTCTATCGCGTTCCGTATTTGGACTGCAGGTCGCAAGCCATTCACATAACAAGTGCTTCAGTGTGACCCCTCCAATTAGCAATTGGTAGTTGGGGCACGCATTGTCCGTCATGACCTGATGTCCAAAAGGCTAGAAGTTCCAACCAGCATCCCCCTGACCCCGGGTTCGATTGCCTGCTAGCTGTACCTGATGAGATCAACTAAATTCGAAAGCGGTCGTGGGGTGTAGTGTTTTCGGGTTGGCAGCACCCAATATCACTCCGTTGGGGTTACCGTCCCAGTGATCTAATTGGCCAAGGTTCATTGAGATTGTGCTTCGCACTCCTTTTACACAACATGTGTTTCGGAATCATCCCTTCATTTAGGCAGTGTGTAACTTATGGCTGCAAAAGTGGAGGATCCGTTTGCTCCATACGAATTGAAATGGTCAGTGGGAGAGTTTTGACAACTATGTGCCCTGCAAAGCTCCAACGGACATATTGCTAAAAGCTGCAGAACGTTGTGCCTCAGTTGGTTTAACGTCTGAACATCAGATTGAGACACAGAATGAAGTACTCTAACTAGTCTCACGGCTGTCGGCTCATCGCAACACGTCGCGAGTTCTACAGGATTGAGGACGAAGCAATCTTTTTTCTTATTGTTCCACACCTCCACTTTAATCGTATGACTTTTGAGTATAGTCCTCTTGCTGAATTCTTACTACGTACGGATGGATTTTGCATGAGTCATTATAGATCCGTAATTTTCAGCTTAGATGAAGCCCAACGGAAACCTCGGAGCACACTTGGACAACACAGAGTACAAGCTTTCGGTAGCCGTTCGGATGACGTGGAATGCACGGCAATGGTTACCCAAATCAAAGCGGCCCAGTGAGATTTACATTGTCGTGGTCAGACAAGCACTCACTCACAATGCATACCTGTACAGAATTTCCGATGATGGTAGACGATGTGGTTATGCAAATTCTCAAGTCTATGCAGGTTAGCATCAGGTTAACAGTGACTGTCGCTCTGTAAACTGGGCTAATATGCGTCTACAAACTGGGCGAACATCATGAGCTCGAAATACCCCAAAATAATTTTAGGAGCAGTTAACAAATAATAAACGTGAGGTTTGGCATAACACAATTCCCTATGGCTAAGGATCAACTCACGCACTTAAGAACAGAGTAGTACGGTACAGCGTTCCAATACGCTGTAGCTTGAGAGCGTTTCTAAAAAGAGCAAATATTTTAGGTCACAAGCCATTCGGAGCCAGTTGCCCTGAGAATCGGTTGGGGAAACGGAATTCTTGTAATCAGCACCTGCAACGGATGCACCAAACAAATCCACCTTGGGAGTTTCGACTTCACTTGTCGTATGCCCTGCAATGCACATTGTCTTACCCATCTTGAACTCACCAAGCGCTGGTTAAGTTAAATGCATTCGAGCACAGAGGACCTGTGGTAACTGACCTAATGAGCGGACCAGTGTTCAGTGTCATGAAATAAACTTGGAATCCCCTGGGAATTCGTGTTTGGATGGTTTTAGAACACATCAATAATACATGAATTTGAAAAATCGATTTGTGTTCTAAAACCTTGCGAAATCATGAACTGATCACGGAGTAACTCGGATCCACTGCTAACCTCGAAACACAAACGAAATTTCTGTTGACGTACTGATAGTATTGCCCTGGGGACTCACTTTAGTATGGACATGTGAAAGAATTCGTCAGCAAACCCGATAGATAATTTGTACTCGCTTACCTATTGTATGGCTACCCAATCAGGTTTGCACACCCATTCTCCCGTCCTGATTCTCGTAGGTGGCAAGTGCGGTTGTTTCTCCAATCCCAAGTCGCGAGCATAAAGAGGAACGCTGCTTAATCTCTGCCAGCAATAAAGGGTTATTTATGCTAAGCCACCTAGAGAGTAACAAATTCATTGTTGATGAAATTTTTCGCGTAGCAAACACTTCGCAATGGTAATTGTGCGCAGCTCAATCAAAGCTTGGGATTCGAAGTAACAGCCAGCGATATAGAAGTGAAAGCCTAACCGCTGCATCAAGCTGTTCCAAGCCGCCATATCACTAATCACCAGGCTCTTAGTCGCTGTAGGTAGACCTCCAAATCTATGACTTCAGCGGCCACCTCTGGTAAGGCTAATAGGCAACGAGTAAATTTGTCCTTGAGTAACTGGAACAATACGGCTTTGATCTCTCCATGTGACTTACACTACTAATCGATTTGGGATGAGTCATCAAACCGTAACTTTATCCCCTTAATAGGGGAGTGTGTGAGTTCCGCAGTTGTGGACGTCTCACGTCTGGGTGACGCAGCACACAAAGCGACACAGGGGCCCTGTGACCTAGCATGCGCATCTCAACTGCTAACTCGACGTACGTACGACTCACTAGGCCCTCGGACACGATGCTAGACATGTACTTATTACAGCCTTTTAATGGCGGACTATTAGGCTTCCGTTTACTTTACAGTCATCTTATATTCAGGCTGGGGAATTCAAGCTAGTCGTACAGTCTTTGAATATGAAAGCGCCATACGCGAAAAACTGCTAATTCTGAGCAAAATAATAAGATATAATGAGTCACTATTCAATGTGACATTTGTTAGACATCTTGGAATTATGAGTAGAAGTCTGTACATTCACCGCATGAACACACCATTTTAACAGGTGTAGCATATTGAAATACACAATCATCAGAACAGAAATCGGATGTGAGATTTTGAAGTTCACTCCAGATACTTCGCAGATGATGCATAATAAAGGTAGGATATGAGCAGCGTGCTTAGGAGTTGTACTCCCTTTGGTTCCTAAATAACGTGAGGAAATTGCAAAGAGGGACTCAGCTACATGACGGCATACAGTGTGTTGGAGTGGAAACCACAAAGTTTGAATGAAATGCAGCTCGAGATATGACGATTTGGACGCTATTCGACGATTTTCGGATTGGTGGCTTCTGTACAGATTGAGCGGGAGAATGAAGGAACCATTTGACTACGTATCTTTCTTGCTGTCATTCAACGGAGCATGGCGTTTAGACCTGGAAACAAGAAAAGTGAATGAGCAGTTTTGGCTGCTAACAGTACGAAGATAATCACCCAACAAGGCCGAACAAAATGCGTAGAGTTCTTCCGTGCTTGCATGCTATAACCGGCTACTCCGCCAAGATCAGAGAACAATGCAAAAACCCGTGAATTCACCCAAAGATGAAAATCAATCGCTGACTGCCGATCCTCATGTGAGGATTTCTTTTGCTTTGCACTCGTTGTCAGACGCCCTGCAGAAGATGACATCTAGCCCATGGGGTGGTGCTGTTGAGAGGAGCAATACCGAAACCTCTATTTCTATCCAAATGGTTTACACAGTGTACGTTCAAACAATGGAATATAAAACGGTCAAGTTAGAGGTGGTCAAGATATGGAGGTGGCTAACTTCGGTAACAACATTTGTCCAAGTATCTATTTCTTTGGTACAGCTGCAACCTCTTCAAGAATCAGAGCGGTTCCTCATACGTCCTTTCCGCAATCACATTAAAAACACATGAAGCTGTAAAGCCCCTATTTTCATCCGAGACGTAGGCTGGTAAACCGGACGATTTTATCTAACATGCGGTACATACCGCATCTCACTCATACTGAACCGTGTTTAATCACTCAGTGGACTCCTGTTAGATCTCAAGGATTCGGCTGGCCTGATGTCGAAGCCGGCCTTGATTAAACAACTTGCTGCATGTATTTAACAGCATGGCAACAATTGCCGAGAAAATGAGCCAGACAGGGACATTCGTAACAATAGCACTGGACCGAATCCAGAAATTTCTACGATCTGTGCTTGGTAATGTACACTAGATGGCTTCTTGTATTTCGTCTGAATGTCATACATTCTTCTTTTCATCTACTCGGTATGGATGGATTCTTAGGTCAGGGTGAACGAAGCATTCAATAACCATACATATGTAGCCTTGGGAACTACATTAGTCCAGGCGTTTGTCCAATATGTTTTATTTGTCCTCACCTATCAGTAAGTATCAGCACAATGTAAGGAGCTGCGGCTTAGCGGTACCACACCAAGCTCCCATCTTGCTAAGGTTGAACTCTGTACTAGAGCTTACCCAATGGCATCGAATTAGTGGCATGTTGATTCGAAGCTATACAAGGCGCGAGCAAGTCGTAAGCGAAATGCTTCAGGCTGTTCACTTGTTTTAGTCAGAACTAATCCCATCGAATCAAACGGTGGACATCCGGTTAGGTCCTGTTCTAAAGAGTAGCATCATTGCTAATCAGGTACAGGTAGATAGGAACACTTGGCCTATGGACATTTTGAAATGCTAATGCTGCCACCAATATATGCAACCAATAATCAACAGCAAGCACAAAAACATCTCATCATCATAAGGTTTTGTCTCCTTACAACTGTGATGAAGTTCAATTCATTGTGTGTCAGCAATAGGCACGTATTTAAGTACTGTGGAATCGTCCATTACTGCTATGCGTTTTTGTTCACCGCGAATACTCCAGTTTTGGTCAACAGACAGGTGATACTTTAAGACAGCCATAAGGAACTATTCCGGTGAAAACCAATCTATGTTATCTAAGCCGATCGCATATCAAAGAGACTGGAATAGGTACTTGCTACGTCTTCGTCTCGGTACGTAAACGTTCCACAGCGTATGCTCTATACAGCCGGTAACCCTGGTATAAGAATAATACGTGTAGACGGAAAATGATATAATCAACAACGGACTGGACATCCTCCATTGCCTTTATTGGCAATATGAGGAGGGTGGTGCATGTCCATGCGTGCGTGAGTGCATATATGTATAAACGGTGTCCGTCAGCAGGAGTGGATTTAGGCCTGAACTTGGGTAAACATGCGACAGAACTTGACTACGAATTCCCATCTTCAACAAATTTAAACCGACAAATAGACTTTCCCCGGAATTGGGAGGCTCCAATAAACGTTACTAAAATAATCGACCCGAAGCGGCGTCAGTTATCAATCTAGATAAACGTAGTTACGCTAGCAGTTAATCCTCTGGTTCCAAATAAGGAAGACGCGGAGGATGTCACTCCATGTGTGCAAAGGGTTAAGAGCGGTGTGACTTGTCGCTGTATGCGGTTAGGACACCGCTTTTTCAACTTGGGAATTGGGTACCGCAATGTAGAAGCACAGACCGTATTTCTGAAACCTTACGAATTGCGGTTTCAATGCATGAAACCCAAACCCATTTTTTCTACTGTGTCTAGATGTTACTCAGATTTGCTGGAACGCCGATCGTTATTCACAACGCTTGTGTATTTGTTTTACAGTGATCAAAACAGTTGAAGCTGTGATAATGAAAATGCACCCTTTACTAAGGCGGTTTGGTGTGTATAAATTGAACGTGTTGTATACCTCACAACCAGTTGACAACGCATTGCTTTTGCACAGTAAAACGATGACAACAAATCCACAGTTCGTGACGTCAGTGATGATTAAGACACTCGGTGGTTTTCAATTAAATTTGTGTAGCCGAAACCGCTTGAACACAGCCATGTTTTCAGGTGACATTGCACATCGATTCAAAAATCGACAAGCAGATGGGTCTCCTTCAAGCGAATCATATAATCGACTACACAGTAATCGTATGAGAGGTGGAGCCCCTTTATGCATCCAAACATAAAAACGTCATCGACACTACAGTATTATCAGCTGCTGTAGTTGCGGAAGTCTGCTGCATCTCTGATGCAACGTCAATTCTAAGGGGCTGTATGCCGGTCTGAACCGTTCTTTATTAACAGTTAGAATCCCCCTATGAATGCTGATTACCGATAACTGTCAACAGCCCGGTGTCGTGTCGGCACACTATTTCAAACTTGATCTGCCTTCACATGGGACCAGGCTCGTAATATCGAGAAGTGCATAATTTCTTAGTTATTGCTTTAGCTATGGTGCAAGTGACAGTTATTTACTAATAATCTTTTCCGTCCTACGATTTTATCACTAAGTCCTTAGGTTACTCGTTAAGCTTAACGAAACCGCTCAACAGGAATACCGTCTCGATTTATTAAGCTCCGTTTAAAAGCCTTCAGTAAACAGTAACCACCAAGTAAATTGCAACCCAGTAAATTTGTGTATTGGTATGTTAGATAACCAGTGTCAAGGTGTGTGGAGCCATTTGGGTCAGCATGGTCGTACAAGCCATTTGGTCTTATGGTCTTCAGTTATCAAAGTCTCCACACCAAGCACATTGACCAACTGCTACGGAAATCGAAATATGTTTCTCTGTCACAATACTGAAGGCCTAGTGAACTAATGCTGCATCGTAAGCATCACTTTATACACACTTTCACCAGTGGTCACATTAATCGGATCTCAGTATTTCTGACATGAATATCTTGTGCCCCCAAATGCCGTGATTTTCGTCCCCCTGTTCGAGTTCTTCATTAAGAGGCAACAGAAACGATGGTTGAACTGTCTACTCTGCTGAATAAATTCCGGCAGTACTCACAGGCCTTTTCCCATAGATTGGAAGCGTAGAGATACAAGGATTTGTTGGTTGCGAAATGTCGTTTTCGGCTCACAGTATGACTAACCGGCCGGGAAATTGCAGCAGAGCGAGAACTACCCTTGGGCTTCCGCTCTAGGAACAAAGGACACAAAGTCTCCTCTGCAACTCGGACCCAGTCTCAATGAATATCGAAAAGGGCTGCCATAAATCTAAGTGGATTGATTAGGTTCCTCAGAAGTATTGTCCAAATGTCTTACTTTTAGATGTCATGGTGCAGGATGCCAGCAATCTGCCTACTGTGATAGACCACAAACTCGTTTTGGAGTTAAGTATTTCATTCTCATGCAGACTTCCTCGCATTTGGGCGCAACCAACTTGTACCAACCATGAGTAAGATGGTTTGAGCCGGACTAACGTTCACCAATAAATAGCGCCATGCTCATCAGTCAATCGCGAAACCAGCTGAAAATGCTTACATTCAGACTGCATCTATTGTTCGGGAGTTACGTTCTCAGCTGATATTCCGATAATAACCGTTATAAGCAGACCAAGACAATTAGCCAGGGAGCATTTGGTGGTCAACTATGGACACTATATACTTCTAAAGAGATTTTACGAGAGACTCGCAACAAGCACCTCAGCAGCGTACCTGTAGCCCCCGTCGACATAGTGCCTCCAATTACTTTGAAGGATACATTTCCCTTTAACAAACCAAAAACGCTCCATATAAATCAGGTGTGCACAAATCCACTCAGCAGATGGTACAGTATCCTTTGAGTTTCGCAGTGTACTTCAATTGTACTGAGAGATTCCATGGTAAAAACCTTCGAGTGGATCCCATTAGTCAAAATCCAACGTACTTCTGCACATTTTGTGGAACCACTTGACCAGTAGTTAGTGGATGCGTGTTGCACAGAGCTCTGTGTAGTACCGGCTATTTGGGTCATCGTTGAATGAATGAATGTATCGTCGACTGTACGCCGTAACGGCGCTTCGCTGCCGCGCGACCACCACCAGCCGTACCTGGGCTGTATACCGCGAGGACACCTTTTCCTTCACGGATTCGAACAGGTGACCTTATGATTGCAGCGCAGGCCTGCGGACCACTCGGCCACCGGCCGACATCGTTACCTCTCATTCAGCCAGTGTTGTATTTTTGATCATCAAAACCATGTGCTTCATCTGCTAAGTGGGTCCACCCGAAGTGTCACTGTTCTTTCAGAGCTTGAAATAAAGCATTAGTCTATGTTCACAAGGTGTGTAACTGACAAGACAGACTAAGCCGTTATTTTACCGAGTGGTCTTTTTGTCAGCGGAGTGTGATGTTAACAGGGCTATGCTTGCCGACTGCTAGTAATCTTTCTACCTTGACTGCATGAAACAGATGGGTTAGGCTGAGGCCATAACCGTTATTCAAAAAGCTGATAGCATATTATGAAGACCAAATATTCCGCATTGATTTATCTTCTGTGCCATTCTCGTACGACCCGATGACAGGGTTGTCCTGAGATTAGAACGTCGCCTCCGAACCACCGAGTCCGTAGTACGGG